GAGATGTTTGTGGCAATTGGCATCCTTCGTCTGCTTTAGTGGTAGCAGGAAATCATCGAACCATGCACACTGAACCCTAAACCCCAGGCTCAGTGAGAGTCGAAGCCCCAGGCTCACGGCTCACGGCTGCAGGGCCCCTGGCTTCATGAGCCCCGTAGGTTATCGGGGCATGTCTGACAGGTGCAACTGCTGCGGATCGCTGCCCGACGGGACATACGTGTTCGTGTTCCAGTGCAGTACAACTGCCGATATTGACGATTAAGTTGTTGTATCTTCCTTGCTGCTCTGCAACTATTTATTCATGTGAGTATATCATTATATATTTAAATATACATATATATATATGTACACTTGCAGACAGACATACATACATACATTAATTACATTAGTTGCATTAGTTACATTACATTACACTATACGTTACATTACATGACAGTACAGTACATTACATGACAGTACAACACATCACAATAATACATATATATATATATACCTACCAACCTACCTACCTACCTACCTACCTGCCTGCCTGCCTGCCTGCCTGCCTGCCTGCCTGCCTGCCTGCCTGCCTGCCTGCCTGCCTGCCTGCCTGCCTGTCTGCCTAGCTGCCTAGCTGCCTACCCACCTGCCTACCTACCTACCTACCTACCTACCTACCTACCTACCTACCTACCTACCTACCTACCTACGTACCTTCGTACCTACGTACCTACGTACCTACGTACCTACGTACCTACGTACCTACGTACGTATACACACACACACACACATATACAAGCACACCTCTGCTTGCTAGTTGTTTTACACTGAAGTTCTGGAGTAAGTTCGTAGATACCCCACCACAATGCCCCGAAGGTTGAGATATCAACATTTCGAGTAGCTTCGGGTCTCGAGTTCCAGGCTTAGAAGACTCGGCATGCTCTCCAGGCTTTGTCCTACGGCTCCCTAAATCCAGGCTTTCCGGGTTGCACGTTGCCGGGCTGTTGTGCTGCATCTTGTTTCGTTTTTTGACCAGTGTACTCCAGTCAGAATCTCTCTCGCTTGTTGATGCAGTTGTTTGTTTTACCTCCGTGGGTGCCATAATGCTCGACAGCTTGTTGTACGCAACCTGCTTCATCGGAACCTACGAAACGTTGTGATGGCAAGCATTGCCAAGCATCAGCTACATCTTGTGGGCCTGCATTTTGAACAGAACCCCATATCCCCTTCTTACAGGCTAGAGCCCGGAACCGAGTTCTCCGTAAGGTCCTCTTCACGACCAAGATGGGGAATCTTGGTCTTCCTTGGTTCTTTTGCTGAGGGCCAGATCTCGGGCATAGTTTCAAGCCTGGGCTGTCGGGAGTTAACAGACCGAGAAGCATTCCAGGATTTTGCATCTCAGGGGGCCTCCCCCCTAAGCCCTAAACCCTAAACCCTAAGCCCTACACCCTAAACCCTAAACCCTAACCCTAAACCCTAACCCTAAACCCTAAACCCACTTCGTCATCCCAGGCCCAGAGTCCCCCTCGACTCCAAAGTTGTCACAGCTCAAAACACCCCCAAGCTGGTGCTTCTCCTTCTTGTTGGGCAAGAATGCAGAATCGCGTAAAGGGCTACCCGAATATCTTGAGAAGCTACGCAGTCGCTTGTGTAGGATGAAGTGTATCGTGGCAAACGCTCCTATTCTCCACCCATGTGATATTCTAAATGTATTTATGACATGAGATAATCTGATATTATAGTCCAGGAATTTCAGAGGTTTGGGTTTTGGGTTCTCCGAGGATGCACTCGAAGATTTCTCATGTCCTCGAGCTCTTTCGCAGCCAAGTGTACTCGGCACTGTGACTTGGCGTCTGCATGGCAAGCTACGAGCGTTCTGAGTCGTCGCGGAAGAAATGAAGAACACCAGAGGGCTCAAGGAAATGCAGGAAGCCAATGACACTGAGGTCCCGTAGAAGGCCATGCGTTTGAAAATGCAGCCGTGAACGGCTACAGAGAAAGAGCCGGTAATCCGTTAGCTGTGTGTGTGTGTGTGTCTGTGATAGAAGTAGCTCTCACTAGTCGCTAGTCACGAGGGGCATATTCACAATCACAATTGAAATTGAAGCCGAGGGCTCCGAATCCAAAACTCCCATCTTCGAGCTAAGCGAACTGTGTTAAGCTCCGGATACTTTTAGCGCAGCACCTGATGCAAAGGTATTCCTCCCTGACGGCTGGCAACGAAACCATGACAATGGCAGAGGATGTGGTGGACAACGCGGCTTGCTTGAAGCTAGAGGCTGAATCCTTTCCAAATGTGCGCCCAAACAGAAAGATCAGCCTCCTGACACATGCAATGATCCTCCGAGCTGGCTGGAGTCCGGAGTGATTAGCATTCCGGAGCATCTCACTCGTGCTATGAGGCCAAATTGAGATCTCATCGGAAGGTCCGTATCCACGAAAAGCCGCTTCTGCCCAGGTTCTGCGCATCATGAGCGAGCCCGTGATCGACTTGATGCAGCCTTATATGTGCATTCTCTGCAGCAGGATCTTTGGGCACGTAGGTTGGTCTTGTGAAGAACTCGGCCCTGAGTGACCCGTTGCCCCTTTCGAACCGAAGATAACGGGGGGGGGGGGTTCTATTCATGTGTTTGATGATTTTACCTGTTCAATGAATTCGCCGAGTGATCGCTTCGGGATCGCAAGCCGGCATCGGCCTTCGATTCCTCCGTCCCCCAAAAAAAAGGCATGTTCTCTGACTGGCAGTTTGCACCTCTTTGCCTTTTTCGGATTTCGAGTGATTTGCAAGCACGACCAGCTGAGAAGCTACTGTTGCAATGCATGTCCTGTTGCCGTAGCATGCTGAACGGTCGAGCCAAGGCGATCACCGGCCGTCATGCCTCTCAGCTGAGAGTCCTCTCTTCGGGGAGACTAGTGGTTTTGGACATTGTATTTCTTTCTTATGGTTCCGGCCGAAACCTTGAAGGAGTCATCGAGCAAGACATAGAAGGTGCAACATGAATTCGTTGTGATCTGCTGTATCATGGTTCTCTCCGGTCTGCTGCTTCAGTACTTTCGGAGTCGGTCTACTGTGATCGAATTTCGGCCCTTAAACTTTCGGATCAAGAGATGTGAAAGACTCGCAAGTCACAGATATCCCGCCATGATGTCGAGCCAGAGTAGTTATGCAAGGGCATGGGAGAGACCCGAGCAAAATTCAGCGTTCACGTTCAGATTCTTGTCGGGGAGGAAAAGGTGTTCCCAGCTTGAATACAAAGCTTTGGTTATTGCGTGGCTGCAGGCAGGACCAAACCGAACCGAGCCGCGAATAGCCCTAGCCGGCCCTAGCCGAGGTGCGTGGACCTCATGATGTGTCTTGGCTTTGTTTTTTATCGTTTCTACGGGTGGTGGCCGTGGTTGTCAGATACATCATCGTGGGTTCTTGTATCGCAACTGTCATCCTTCTCCTGTTCAGTTTTCTAATGAAGGTCAGAATCGGCTTATACCGTTGCCAAAAGCAACATCATCATAGGTGTTTGAAGCAGACTCTATTCTATGATGATGACAAGCTTTTGTTGAACCGCCCACCGGTCCCTTGATGTTGTTGTCATCATTTATAGTCCTGGTTGTGACATGTTTCCAGTAGAACCAGTGCTGACCACGATTTGGTCTTCTCAACAATATCCATATCAATAGATGTTCCAGAGCACTACTCCGTAGTGGTAGTCGTCGCCGTCCTCCTTCTCCCAGTCAGATCCCTAGCTCTAGCTTTCAGTCCCTGTTTAGTTTTTTGCAGATGACTTCACCTCGCGCCGCCGCTTTCAGGATGTTACAGACGAGGACGTATGATTGCTGGATGCGGCGTTACAGACCGCCTGTAGTTCAGGGTTGCCAGGGAAGGTGGCAGTGGCAGCATCAGGGTTGCGCCGATGCAGAGCGCAGGGCCGATGCAGAGCGCAGAGTCTTGATAGGGTTTTGAAATCAAATTTAAAGCAGCGCTTATCTCAACACTGGCGTGAGGCCTTCAACATAAAAAGCGGAGTAACCTCCTTGGAGTCTGTGTAGCTGGCGGAGTTTGAAAGTAGAAAAAATCCCGGAACCGTGCAAGTTCCCAAGCCCTGCAGTCACACCGCTTGAAGTTGCATGAGTCGGTCGTAAGCAGAGCTCTACGTACTGTACTTGCCGTCAGAAGCAACGAAGCAGAAAGCTACTAGTACCTGATTCAGACCTTTGCATTTTTTAGCCGATGATCCGACATGGGAGTTTCCCAAAATAAGGGGTACCTTATTTTGGGGTCCTTATAATAGGGGTCCTACTATTTAGGGTACTATATTAGGGTCCCCTATTTTCGGAAAGTCCCAAATACCAAGGTACGGCTCGCAGGACATTTTCGCGCTGGCCTTGGAGCTGCTCTTTGCACATTGCTGCCTGGCGGCTAGTGAAGTTGCGAGGTCCAGGGCTGCAGGGTTTTAAAATTTAAAAGGGTTTAGGGTTTAGTGTAAATTTTAGGGTTCGCAGCTTGAGGGTTTTTAGGTTCAGAAGCTGGAAAGGTGGCTTCGGCAAGGTGACTAAGGTGGTACTAGGCCGCCGTTCACTGGTTTGGGGAAGGTTGTCCCAGCCCCCAGAACGGAAAAGCTTCGGACCCGCAACGTGGATGATGTATCCTGGCGCATTCAGAACACGCGGTTCGCATCCATTTACATGCACCAAGAGGTGTGCAGTCGCAGTCTGGGGATAGGTACTGATACTCTGGGTACTCTATGCTGCCACCATGCTTACTTTTTGTGCCATTTTCCCCGTATCGATTCTATGGATGCAACATGCTGCGCGGTGCCGTCGTCTCCCGAGGACCATAGCTTTGGTATGGTTCCTGGGTCGTGGTCGGTTAGCAACTATAGTAGTTAGAGAGATGGTTTAAGGTTTAGGGTTTTAGGGTCCGCAGTAAAGCTGGGCTGCTTGCTCCAACTCCGGGCGAAGTGGAAAGCCTGTTGCAAAAGGGTTTAGGGTTTAGGGTTTAGGGAGATGTGCACCCGAGAAGCGAGGTTGCCAGGGCTCGGAGCTCATCAACCTCCTGGAGAAGGCAAGTACTGGCGTAGGGCTTAGGCTTTAGAGTTTAGAGTTCAGGGGTGTATGATACACTGCTACACACCTCATCTGAGATTCGCAGAGGTTTTAGGTCACATTCTGTCCTGGTTAGCGGCCGTGCGAATGAATGAGTCTCGACCAAATCCCAGTTGGAGTGGCTGCATCTCGTTCAGGTGGTAGTTAGGCCTACAGAGAACAAGTCGGAACTCAAACAAGGGTCTGTTGTTCGGGCGTGTAAACCTATAGGCTAGAGGGGTTCATGGTTGAGGTTGAAGCCCTGAGCCCGAGACGCGAAAGCCGAACCACTCCATCTGCCGTTGCACGGGGATCGAGCCGGGAAGCAACAAAACCAAACTCCAGCTCGAACCTACCAGGACCTGCCAGAACTGCAGCTGATTTACGTCAGGCTAATTTAGGGATGGCTTGAGGTATGGCCGGAGCCCTGATGCTTCAGGGAGGCATCATGTCCGAAGCAACTTCCTGGCACATTCAAGCCTACACGTCTTCCAAACGCCGCTACGCTTACATGTGTAAAGTGTAATCGTGTAATCAGTTATGCGGATACCTCGCCCTAACATTAAACATAATCATCGGGGAGCATGCGGCCCCAGCTGCCTCTCTCTGAGAGAGAGGAGGTTATGTTGAGGGTTTACCCAGCATCCGAAACCTCACGATTAAAGAGCAAAAGTGCACTACGGCAAAAGGTGTCTTTCCTATCTTAGGGCCACAACCACATTGGGACTATGTTGCTTAGAGGTGCACCGTATGGTCGTATGGTGTCACAGGAAAAGGAAGCTCCATGCCTGTCCCGAGGTGGAGTTGCTGACCACGGCCCAAGATAAGCTGTTCTCGTCCTTGAAGCACGATGTATTCTCAGTTGGACGGCTGCCGCTCGGGACCGAAAGCTGTAACCAGGACAGGCCTTGCAATGCTCACGACCAAAGCATAGGCCACAGACTGCACATGTTGATGGTGGTGTTTGATTTGTTCTTCTGTTCCATATTCCTCTGAGGCAGAGGTGTAGGCCGTAGTGAGTGAAGGTTTACAAGTTTACAATCCTCAAGATACAGGGTTGTGCGGTTCGGATGTGCCAGATTTGGTCTAATGACGAATGTTCGGGTTCAACATAGGTTTCAAACATCCGTCTCGGGTTTTTCGACAGAGTCTTCAACCTTTGCCAAGGCTCTACAGTATTGAGAATTGGGGCGTTGACGATGATTTTTCGACCATCGACAATGCGAAGCTGAAACAATTCAGCACCTTGCCTGTTCTGCAAAGCTACACCGGTGCGACACTTCTTCTTTAGTTTGGAAACCGCTTCCTTGGATAACTCTGTCTCCATGTATTGTCGTGCGATTGCGGCCGATTGAGTCCGTCTTGATTGCCTCGCTACGCTGCCTTGTTGTGCAGTTTTGCGCACAGGTGTGGAATTAACATATTAGGGTTCGCACTAATTCGCCGAGATCGTCTTTTGGACGTCGACTGGTGCCTGACATGTTTGCCGTTTCCGGCACTGACTCACCTAGGCTCTCTTTGCAAACGGATCCGCGGCCTGTGCATCAATGGGGATCCTTCAAGCAGCCCCCACGAGGTGCAGAAAATGCTTCACGAGACTTGGCACGCTTCAGGAACATGAACATCTTGTGTGGCTGACCTGGGCTTGAAACCCGTGCTTGAGGTCAGCACTGAAGTTTTTCGTGCTAAACCGGCCACCTGCAGCTTGTGCAGAGGAGCATATACATCCACTCTGTTGAAACTGAGGAAACAGAGTTTTTCTCGCACATGGATTACACGGTGAGGATGAGCTTTTCAGCAGCTCGTTTGCCATGGCTACGCGTCCTGGGATGTCCGGCTGGCGATTTAGCTTTCAATGCTGGATGGTCAAGTCGTGGCTTTTGGCCTGACCTTACGGTGCTTGCACTTACAGCACTGGTTCCTAATTCAGTTTGCTTTACGGGCAATCATGAAGGTACTGCATGCTGCCAAGAGTCACACGGTGCTCAACAGACGCAGATGGCGAAGAGTTTCCGGACGAATGTAAGTCGCCAGTGTCATGCTTCACAGTGTATTCCGTGAATTTGCTGAGAGACTGTAGACCATGGGTAAACGAACGAACAAGAGAGAGAGAGAGAGAGAGAGATATGGGGAGAGAGAGAGAGAGAGTTCGAGGCTGCTAACAACTTACACATAGTAGCCACTTCCAGGCTTTCATTCTTAGACATGTGAACGGTTTCTTTCCCCACATCAGAAGCCGAAGTCCTCTGAAGCATTTGTATTCGAAACAGCGAAGCCAGACGCAAACTCATCATGCCATGTTGCACGGTTTTGCTCTGTGCGGACGTGCAATTATGAAGAGAGCAAGCGGTAGAATCTCTAGACTGACTCCGATATCCTCCAGCCGAGACCTCGGCGCGACTAGCTTCAAAACGGCGGAGCTTAAATGCTGACCGACCAAGGACTTTCCACAGAGCTCCGAACCACTGGCAGCCCTGCTGCGCTTGCAGAAATGCTTCCACTTCCTTGTGTGAGACAAATCTTGGCCCTACAACACAAGAGTCTAAACCCCAAATCCGAAACGCTACAGACCTTGCCAGGCTTGTCCGAGTGTGTGTGTCAACAATCCGAAACGCGAAGCTTTCGTTGGTTTGGAGATCGCAGGCCTTCAGGTTTTCTTCAGGTGTTCTCCACTTGGTGATTCCATGCTGCCAGCTATCGGCCTAAGCAGCGGGGGCTATTGAGAAAGTCCTGTGGTATACTCACCCCAAGACGCGCTGAGCCCTGAACCCGAAACCTGAACCGCTGATCGCGTCGTGCACCTCAGTCATCTGCAGGATGAGCCAGGCGTCGCTGTCGCCCTGACTGGCTACAGAACGCTTGCATAGACCCTGAACCCGAAACCCTTGACAGAGACTGTCGCGGCTTTTCGCGCACGCCAGGTCAAGCAGGTGATCTCCCAAATGTGCCACTGTGCAGTCAAGGCAGGTGTCTTTGCTTTGAACCTGCACTCGGGGGCTTTGTAGGTTGAGGCGAAGGGTCTGAGCTCATCTTCCGACCACGTCCCTTGCCACCAGCATCAGCCTGTAAGACCTACGGAAGGACGACATAAGCAAGCACTCAGCAGTTAGCAAAACCAGAGCCAGTTTTCATGTTATGACATGCGCCTGCCGTGTATACAAAAAGAGCAATGCCCGGAGGCCGTGGCAAACAACAGCAAGAACCAGATGCAGGCTTATCGATCCATAGCCGCTGGGCTGGCGCTGGGAAGTTGTCAAAGTTAGGGCTGTTTCGGGCACCCCATCGCCCATAGCACACTTGTCACGCCGATGCGCTCGTTCTGGAGCTCTGCAATGCAATGCCGCATGCCAGAGAATGCGACATTCGCTGTGCAACTCTGGAGCTGTCACGCAAACATATGGTTCTATGTGAAACCTGTTATTACCATACGTATGGTTTTAGATGGTTATTCGTATATGACAAAGATTCGGGATCCAAGGCTTCTGTGTGCGGGTACATTCCAAAGCTTGCAACTAAAAAGCCAGTAGACAGCGGTTTTGCTTGTCGATGCTGTTTGCATCTGTGAAGCTGTGGTTTTCCTGCCCGTGTTTATACGAAGTCGTGGATCGAGAGGTTTTCGGGCAGCTCATGGAAAATGCCAGGTCTTGGGTATGTCAGCCTCGTGAATTTACCTTGCAGATCATGTGCATTCCTCGGGCCAGACGATTGAGCATACCTTGCCTGGAATGTCTGAGTGCGACGACCCTCGTGAGACTTCACACCTCTGCCCAAGATCATAACACCTAAGCGAATCTGGACTCTTGTGAATGCTTGCCGGGCTTGTGACTGTGGAGCGCGAGAGTCGAGAAGGGACGCTGATATTTGCAAGAAACTTCCAGCATCAAACCCTGAAGCTGTCATCCGCTCTATTCACCTGCGAAACTTACACCTGTTCGAGTCGCGCCAGATTGACAAATTTGTTGTAAGTGTGGGGGCATCAACGTTTTCTGGAAAGCGTTTTCTGAGAATTCGGGACCCTTGGGTTGTAGGTTTGCTGTTGGTAATTAGCGAACATAGGAGTAGTGCTTAAGGCTAGTCACTGCTAGTCTACATGGGAAGTGGAGCGTATATCTGCGGCTTGCAGAAGCGCATCTCCCCGCACTCGCTCGGATGCGGCAGATTTGGATCTACATACTCAGCTCCAACGCCAAGATCTCACTCCCTAAAGCCTGGCTCTTTCCTTTGCCAGTTTAGACTCCCTGAGCCGAAGATGAAACTCTGAAAGCCAAGTGAAGGCCTGACCGCCGACAGCCAAGGTCCCTAAATCCCCCAGCCCACGGGGCTTGAACACTAAACACCCGTCTAAACCCTCTAGCCATGGACCCTGTAGGCTCTTTGTTTGGCACTCGAAATTAGCGGCCCGGAACTCTTCCAAGTAGGGGCCTTAATAGTGGGGTTTTGGAGCCCATTATACTATAATCTTACTAAGGAGCCCCCAAAATAGTGTAAGGACCCCGGAGCCCAGGATGCGATGAAAGCCTTGGTCGCTGAGCAGCCGGAGTCTGCGCTGCTCCTGGCAGAGCACCTCGGAGATCGGCCGGTTGGTCTTGTGATTCTAAACATATTATTAGGGGAAAACATATTTTTTCCTCATAATATGTTTAGTCTTGCGATTCAGTTGTTGTGTAGCTTGTTTCTCGGTTCGAAGTTGCGGGTTCCAGGGTTTGCTTTTTTTTTGTCGGGTCGGCTCAAGGCTGCGGGCTTCGGGATGTTGTGGGTCGTGTGGGTGTTCTGGGACTGAGGTGCGGGCTTGGTGGGGATGTAAGCATGGCTTGAATATTCAGTAACTTTGTGCTGGGGACGTTTGCATCCACAGTAGTTAGGGACGTCTCGGAATTCTGGGCCGGGTAGGTTTCTTTGGCTCGTTGGAGGCATAGGAGTTTGGGCGGGGGGTGGGAGATGGAATTCAGAGCAGGTTTGCCGGTGACTGAAGACCTGCTTGGGCACTGGGCAGTACCACATCCGAAAAAAACATATGCTGCCTCGAGCAGCAGACGACCGGTCCAGTCCTTGTTAAGGGCTTGGGTTGCGTGTAAGCTTCAAAACGCCGAGAATGCAAACTCTACAGACAGAGCCAAGGATCTTCAAGGGCAATTTCACAATTTGCCGGCGTGTGCCCGAAGACCTTATCGCGAAGTTCTCCGAGCTCATTCTCAGGGACGGGTTGTTATTAATTATTACATGGTACGTAGTATCTTGCATGTGGGTTTGTGTTTTTCGGAGTTTGCCGCTTTTCTGCGTGTCACAATTACTTTTGCTTCTTGCTGCCCTTCTTTACAGCGAGTCCAGGCAGGTCACAAGCAGGCAATCATACACCATGGTTAGCATCTGAGATTATGTGGTACAGGTTGCTAGATTTGTTTGCTGGTGCATATACGTCTGTCCTCCAAACAGGAGCGGATGGCCGGCAGCTTCGTGTCCTGCTACATCGACTTCTACATGGCTGCTCGGCTCGGATGATCACCATTGTAGAGCAGGGGATTTTACTGGCAGATGCGCATCAATGCATGACTGCCACACTATCTAACGGGCCAGCACCAAGGCTATTGTCTCTGCTGGCAACAAGCCTGTGGTACGGAACCAGGCCTGGCATCCATGTAGATTAGGTGCTTAGAGCTTACGTAGGTTTTTGTTCGCATTTTCCCGAACTGGTTAATGCCCACAGCCCGAGCTGCATGCACGACCCTTGGTTGACCGCAAAGAGGTCCCTGTGGCAGAGACTGCATCTCGAAACGCTTTGCTGCATCAATGCAGTACGCAGAAAGTACATTCCTGCAAAAAGCAAAGGCACGCCCATTATCAAACAAGCTTCATTCCGCACATTGGACAGGTGCCAGTGGTGGAAGCACTACAACGCGGCCGACCGGAGAGGAGCCCCGGGAGCGGCGCATGGGGGTTCGTGGATAAAGGGCCTTTTTGATTTGCAGCTTAATTTAGCTCTGGAGTCGCGGCACCTTGTTTCAAGTTGGTTCAAGGACGGACGGTATTGGTGACTCTATTGCAGATGAAGCTGCGGTTGGAATCATGAGCTGTTCTACGACCGTAGCATTGGAGTCGGCTGCCCGCAAGCAGCACGCGGGCAGGCGAGAAGCTCGCATACTCTACTCGCCTTTTGACTTTTGAAGCCTTCTGGGGTCTCTTTGAAGGCCTATGGTATATATATATATATACATACATAGATATAGGCCGTTGTCGAAGTACTCAGAGATATTGGTTCAAAGGGTTTTGGGTAAGTGAGCTGCAGGAGCTGTCGCTGCAGTTCTTCTTGCTGGGTTGGGGGACATGAAGCTATTTACCTGCTTTCGCCACCTGGGTACATTATATTCTACTCTGTTGTAGCACAGTGCCTGCGATTTGAAATAGACTGACGAGGCCTGCAACAGCAATCCTACACTCTAGACTTTGGAAAGCTCGCAAAGCCGTTCCAAATGGGAGCCCTACATCACTGCTTGCTGAAACCCTGCATGAACCTCAGAAGCCCAGAGCCCTAGAAACCCGAAACTCACTGAATCCGAAACCGGCTTCGAGCGTTCTTATCAAAATAATCATACTAATAGTAATAGTAGTCATAATAACAGTAAACAAGTATTAGGTAGTAATAGTAATACTGATAAGAATAATGAGATTACTGATGCTAATATGGCACTGCGGCGCAAAGGTGTTTTCGGACACTGATCGCCCCTGCCCTGTAATATTGACAACGACAATAACAATAATAATGGTGGAGGCTTCAGGCCTGTTGGAAAGCCTTGCCTGCTGGGTGCGAGTGCGAGAGTCGCACCCCCCTCCAGCAACCCAGAAATCCATCACAAAACGCCCATGCCCTTGAACCCTGAATCCTGAAGATCCCTGTAGCCTGACCTTCTGCTTCTGCTATACTAGAAATGGTATTTATTTTATGTTTTCGTCATGGTATATTATGTGATACTGTATTCGATCATACTCTATTACTTTAATTAAGCTGGAGGATGCTGCACCTCCTGCGCACGACAAGCGAGATGGAGCGAGCTTTGGACCTGGCTCGTCACTTCAAGGCGGTTTGGGATTTCGGGTAGTTTCGGGTTTATGGGCTTCTGGGGTTTCGGGCTCTTTTAGTTTACGGTCCGTTTGTCATTTGGGGCGTGAGATCTCCGTCAGGCTTCGCAGACGTGTTTGGGTAATCACGAAAGCTCGCGTAGCAGAGTTTGAGTTTAGTCTTGCTTTTAGCAGAGAGGCAGTCCAGGGCCAGAAACCAGCGTAGTATTGATAGTATCAATTTAGGGGGGGGGGGGGGGGGGGCTAAATTGAACGGTTCATACGAAAGCCTGTGTTTTG